AACACAGGTAGAACAGGCTGTGCAATTGTAATATATAAAGAAAAAGAGATGATAGTGTCAAACAAACAAAGGCTGAACAACTGGGCCAGCACAACACAAACTGAACTAACTGGAATCTACTTAGCCACAGACTACCTCAAAGATAATGGAGGTGAGGTGATATTCTGTGACTCTCAAAGTGCTTTGAAATCAATGAACAGCCCATGAGGCTCTATGTCTAAAGTTGTGTGTGATATTAAAAGGAATGTGATAACTGCCAATGAGAACAACTTTCGTATCGAATTTGTGTGGATTCCGTCCCATGTTGGAATCAGGTATCATGACCGTGCTGATAGACTGGCCAATGAGGCATGTAAGAAAGAAAATGTTGACCGCGACCTTGGCCTGTCCAATGCTGTAATTAAAAACATTCAAGTCAGAATCATGAACTCTGGTCTAGAAGAAGTGAGAAATGCAGAGAGACATGACAGTTGTAGCATAAGTAAATCTGACAAATTTTGTGACAAGAGGTGCCGGTATGGCCAGCATAAGGACAGAACCAGACAATGTGATGGAGTCGTGGCCAGAATTAGGCTAGGATACAGACACATCTGGCAAGTTAGTAACGCTGTACCCATACCGGAACACTCAGCATGTAAACTTTGTGATAAACCTTTAAAGCATACACTAGAACACAATATTATTGAATGTGACACTGTCAAAGACTTCAGGCCACCTGACTTATTGTATCTTGAACTATGTAATTACTTCATTGAATCAGGTGTGCTTGAGGACATTCTTGCTGTTTATCCCAAATTTGCTAGCCCACACTGATTAGTCTTCAATTAGAATATGACTCCAATGTATGTGATCCACTGACCTATATATACTGCTAATGAATATGATGTATTACCTTCTTTGTGTACGAACCTCTGTCCTGCATGGCAGTGAACAGTGGCATTACCCACATGAATCTGACCTATATATAGTGTCAATGAATATGATGCATTCTTTGTGTACGAACCTCTGTCCTGTATGGCAGTGAAGAGTGACATTACCCACATGAATCTGACCGACGTATGTGTATATATGTATGTGTGCATATGTGTATATATATGTACATGTATATGTGTATGTATATATGTATATGTATGTATATGTGCATGTGTGTGTGTACATATATGTACATGTACTGTCAATGAATATGATGTATCTCTTTGTGTACGAACCTCTGTCCTGCATGGCAGTGAACAGTGACATTACCCTATGAACCTGACCTCTATACATTTATAGCTGTTAACGAATATGATGTATTTCTTTGTGTATGAACCTCTGTCCTGCGTGGCAGTGAGAAGTGATACCACCCTCAGTGTCAAGACCTGACTGAATTACTCAGAATAGGCAAACTGTACTACAAGCTTTGTCAATAAATTTGTTAAACTAAAAAAGGGGTTTGTGGGTTGAGTGTGTGTATAGCACTTGTATATGTATGTAGAGAAGCGTGACGTCTCTGTAGGTGGGTTCGTGTCAGAAAGGACTGGTCTCGGTGCCAAAATTGTTCGTACGAGAGCGCGGGAGTGTTATCGTTCATTCCGGCCAGGCTAGCCGCCTGCCGCGAGGGCCGCTTGTCAGGAAAGATTGGACTCTGTCAATAACATTCGTGCGTACACGCGGGAGAGATAGTGTTCAAAGCGTACAGCCATCTCCAATTGTAAATAAAATTTAAGAACGAGTGAGTTGTCCTTTCTATTAGAGAAGAGTAGTTGTGACAGTTAAGTAGTGTTTGTGGCATCAGTTTATATTCTTAGCAGTTGTGTAATGAATCCCTACACTGATTGTAGTGCCTCTGTTGTCGTTTTAGTGTGACTTCAGTTGTATGACATCGCTTGTATAACTTCAGTTCATCGCTTGTATGACATCGCTTGCATGACCTTTGTTATATGACATCGTTATAAACGAACAGACATGTCTGTTGACGAGCATTCCCGTTTAACCGAACGTCTCTATAACTGTGCCACCAGTCATAAGCCTAGCCAGCGTAGAAGACCTGGAGGCCCTGAACGACGGAGATGCTAACCGGTCACTCATACAGAAATGGCGAAGTGGAGAAACCCTTTCACCCGAGAGAAGGATGAAACCAACAGGCCGGATAAATAGGGTAATCGGGGTGTTATCAGCAGACGCTCACCCAATTGACGGCAATGATGCAGAATATGAAAGATCAGATGGAGCAACTGCAGACATTCAGCGATACGGAGGACTTTGGTGAGATGCTGTCAGTACCAGGTCCTAGGAAGGACTTTTCTGGAAACGAGTGAAGGGATGACAGCCGCGACGAGATATCCACGAGACACGTTGTCAACCGCCGGAACCAGGAGTGTCGAGCTGCTACACCTCGACACCCACCCAAGGAGGGTTCCCAACACTCAGCACCTCAGAGTTAGGAAAATCTCATCAGGGGGAGAGGGAACATGTTTCCACCCGTCATGCCCACTTTCCGGAAGCAGTGACACCAACAGAAACCCAGGAGATATAAAAACCAGGAACAAGATATACTACAGAGAGAACGCCCAGGACGGATGGAAGGGAGGCCATCGGACACGACGCTACTAACCCAAAGCCGATTCCTAACCTTGCAGATGGAGACCCGGAGGTAAAAGGAGAAGCAACAGTACTGGCAACGAGCACTGACCAGGGCGAGAGTACCCTAAAAGGGCTATGGGCAAGGTATTCTTCATGACATAAGCTATTGAAAGGTGTGGCGTGGCTCAGGAGGTTCATACAGTGGCGCTTCAGCGATCCAAAGGAAAAACGTCACCAAGAAGATCGACTGAAGATCAGCGAGTTGGATGAGGCAAGAGTAGCTGTTTTGCGACTGATACAAAGGGAAGGATTTCCCCGCGAGATGAACGCGCTAGAACGAGGACACTCCGTCAGGACTGGTGACATAAGCAAACTGGAACTTTACCTGGGTGCAGACGGCCTGATAAGAATAGGCGGCTGACTGAAGCTTGCTGCTCTCCATTCAGACCAAAGGAACCCCATACTCTTGTTACCCAGGGACAAAACCCACAGAACTTATTGTACATTCGACCAGGGCTGGCCACTCAGGACACGAGCACACTCTAAAAGCGCTACGCGAGACATATTGGATACCCAAGTGCCGTAAGTTGATCGATCGAGTACTACGTACGTCGTACGTGTGTAATTTGTCGAAGAAGCAATTGGAAGCCTACCCACCAACGCCAAGCTGACCTGTCAGAGGACCGAGTACATCCAGAATGTTAGCCATTCACCTGCGCTGGAGTCGACTGTTTTGGTGTCTTCATGGTTAAACAAGGCAGGGCCCGGGCGAAAAGATGGGGATGCTTGTTTACATGTCTGGCCACCCGAGCTATACACCTGGAAGTCCTCACCTCACTGAACAAAGACTCATTCATCAACGCCATGACGAGGTTCACATCCCGCATAGGACCTCCCAAGTGCATCAGATCCGATAATGGAACCAACATGATTGGAGCGAACAAAGAACTTTAGGAGGCGGTGAGGAAGTGGAACAGCAGTAACAGTGTTAGGAACACACTCTTGCAGAGGCAAATAGAATAGGAGTTCAACCATCCGACTGCCTCTCACATGGGTGGAGTATGGGAGCGTCAGGTCCGCACGGTGAAGAAGGTTCTCCAGGGGGTGTTGGGCACACAGGTACTAGACGACGAGCGACTCAACACCCTGTTCTGTGCCGCGGAAGAGATCGTCAACGTGAGGCCCATCACCCCAGTATCCAACGACCCAAGAGACCTAGAAGCACTCACGCCGCTTCACCTACTGCGAATGCCCGCGGATACCCTGCCCACTGGAGGCGATCAGTCCATAGCATAAGCTTACCGACGAAAATGGAAGCATGCCCAATTCATTGCAAACCAATTCTGGAAGAGGTGGGTGATAGAATATCTCCCGACACTCCGGCGACGACAGAAGCACTGGGACATCGTCATCATATCTGGATATCCTCTTCCAAGGAGCAAATGGATGCTAGGAAGGGTATTGGAGGCGGTACCGGGTGATGACGGCCTGGTGAGGTGTGCCAAAGTGTTAATACGTCCAGTGACAAAGCTCTGCCTGTTGGAGGGAGTCGGAGAGTGAGACTCCCGGTAGACAACGGGTTTCGAGCAAGCTCAACAGGGGGAGTGTTACCGCCAAAGTAGGATAAACTAGAAGAGAGAGAAAGAGAGGGATATATATATAGAGAGAGAGAAAGGGTGACAGGAGAGAGACAGAGTGTTGACAACGAACATTGCTGAGGTGTTAAATGTGAAACAGATGGCCTCGCCTTGGGCTGACTCACTCCCTGTGGGGTTCAGAAGATAGTCTCAAGCAGTCCAGTGAGCTAACAAGTCAGGGAGCTAATAAGTCCTACATTAGACCCGAAAAACGTAAGTTTTTATAAGGTTTAACATCCTACTCTACTCAAGTATATCATATGTAGTTGTTAATAATGAAGGAACTTACAAATGAATTAACTATCTCAGATGTTACATATGTATTTTGTACTCTGCAGGTTTTGACCGAATAGAGAACAATCTTGTCCTACGTGCAAGTGTCTCATTATCCCACAGTCGCTCATTGGGCGGTTACAGTGTTGTAAGGTTACAATTTTTATGAAGTGAAACTTTTCGTGTTGTTGACAACATATTTTTTGGGGGTGTGTGAGTGGCTTTTTTTTATTATTTATTATTTAACATATTATATTTATGAGATTCTCCAACCTGTTCGCGGAAATGGTTCTCTGTGGAATCTTAGCAGCGGATGGGTATTTCTTGCTTTATAAACATGTGTTGCCTAGGGGGTTCCCAGATGATGTTTACGTTCATTATCTGACGGTTTTGTGTCTGGAGCTTCTCCCGTATGTGTGACCACGGACTACACACACACACACACACAGTGACGTCGTTGATCCAGCTGCCTTGACACCGGACATCCGGTACAAGATACTGATGAAATATGTCCAAGACAAACTTTATAAGTGAGTCACCGCTCTGAGAAGCCCGAGAGTGTGTGGGGTACGTGGCTAGAGGTGGTAGTGCTAGTGCGTAACATAGTAGTGGTAGTGCGTACCCTAGAGATGGTAGCGGAACGTAATTAGTGGTGGTAGTGAGTAAACTAGTGGTGGTGGTGGTAAAGCGTAACTAGTGGTGAGAGTAGTTGAAGAAAGCATCTATTGTGTTGAGTAATCTTACCCACGGCATGACTTGAGACCTTTGAAAACATTGGAACTCAACGCAGGACTCCTCTATACCTTCAAACAACGTTATATTGACATAAACTTGAAAAACAGCCTAATGTTAACATTGATCATACAAAAGATACTGAAAATGCAATACACCTGACCATTCACATTGGAAATACTAAGGTTAAGTGTCGATCAAATTTAACCAAGTGAAGTATAATATTCTCACAGGAGTTACGTGACAAGACGCAGAAAATACCGATGGGGAATTTAAATTGGTTTATGGCTTATGTGGTGCTGCCAATCTCTCTGTCCACATCAGGTAAAATTTCAATTATTTTATCAGATTTCTATGTTATTTTCTTCTTGCGTTGCTTTTCAATATATATATATATATATATATATATATATATATATATATATATATATATATATATATATATATATATATATATATATATATATATATATATATATATATATATATATATATATATATATATATATATATTTGAATTTGAGTAATGACATGTACAAACTAGACAATTTTGTAATTAAGAAGATTTGTAACCAAGTGAGAAGGTTGGGTCACCTTACCCTCTGACCTGACCACCGACCGTTGCGGTGCTATTTAAAGATTAGTAGGGTCATTACCTAATACCTGACCATTGTGGACCTGATCTCACCCTCCTCTGTATATATAAACCTTGTTTTGTACTTCTCTTTAGTCTGTACTCACCCCTGAAGATGTGAATTACACGAAAGCGCTTGGGAACTCCCTATTTTCTTCTTTCCTTGTGGTTATCAGCATATATATATATATATATATATATATATATATATATATATATATATATATATATATATATATATATATATATATATATATATATATATATATATATATATATATATATATATATGTGATATTATTAATATACCTGTTCCATGCCATCTGTCCCACAATACTTGTTCCACGTCATCTGTTCCACACTGCTACTTATTCCACGCCCTCGGTTCCACACTAATTGTTCCAAACCATCTGTTTCACAGTACTTGTCCCACGCCATCTGTACCAAACTACTTGTTCCACACCACTTGTTCCACGCCATCTGTACCAAACCTCCTACCTAAGTATTGTGGAACATAGTGATCTGTTCCACACTCTCTCTCTCTCTCTCTCTCTCTCTCTCAAATACCAATCACTCATTACAGATCCTACAATCGCCAAGACAGTCGATGGGAAGAAAGTGACATTCTCCCTACCAGACAACCAGACAGCCCAGTTCATGCTCTGGACCCCGGCGTTAGGCACCAAATTTACCATGGTGTACCAAGCCCCGGGTATCCTCCCTTCAGCTGGCTTATTTGCTATCCCACACGCGCGATTGTGGACATCTCTTACCGTCTCCAATGTGGTGATTTTTTTTTATTAATCTTTATCTTTTTTTTCAGTTTTTGTGATAATTGTTGTTGATTTCGTTTTTAGCAGTATTTTATTTGGTTACTCGTTCATTATTTTGAATATTTGTATTATTATTTTTTTGTAATACTAATTCATGGAGATTAGTTCTTAACTTTATTTATTGTATAGGCTGTTGTAGTTATATTAATAATAATAATAATAATAGTCTAAAAACAATAATACAAATCCCATGTTTTCAGTCAATAACAATAGCTGGATATAAGGAAGTAGCCTTTGAACGAGCGTTAACAATGCAGGGGCGACAAGTGCTACTGTCCAGCTATGATCCTGTGTACTGGTACCTGTGTGAAGCTATGGGCACGTGTGGTAAGTGTTGAGTGATTGTGGTAGTTGTGGTGGTAGTGGTGATGGTGGTAGTGATGGTGGTAGTGATGATGATGACGATGAAGGAGAGTTTGAGAGATTGAAAGAATTATATTACCAGAGTGGATACAGCCCTCGTCTTCTATACTATGGATGGATAGTTAACCCTAAGTCTATCCAGCTGTGAATGAGTACTTAATTTTACGTTTATGTAGTGGAGGTGTTCAAGTGCCGTGTCAGACCTCACAGCTTTATTTTCCACCAAAGATTTAGTATCTAAGGTGTTAAACAACCACTAGGCTTATAGAATCGTCTATTAAAATAACATTAATCCTTGTATTCTCAGCCCTAGTGCCTCCTATTCTGATCCACAACACAACACTGGTAAGCGAAATGACCCCCTTACAAGACCTAGCAACTTCCGGATTCAACTACGATCCAATCTCTATCGTATTGTGGTTGAGTGTGGTGTGTGTGGTACTAGGAATCACAACAATCATCCTCGCTGTTTATTTATGCTTCATTAAGAACTGCAAGAAACCACAGACATTCGGTGAGTAAAAACATTCTCCAATTATACCAGTTTTGTTGAGTGATGGATAACCTGTTTATAAGACCCTGTTGGTGTCGGTGGGATTATATGACTGTCAGTTGGTACTGTTGTTGATGATATTACGAGACAATCCAGCACCTAGAGTGTATAAAGTGCCAAGACAACAAGTAGAAATATCCCCCCACATACTCTTTTTGAATCGTCATCTTAAATAAACGGACAATTCAGAATCACAGTACATACTTTATCTATTAACCTTTTTCTATTTGTGGCTTTCAGATATACATGAGTTACCAGCACTAGGAGTGAGGGCTCGCCAGGATATGCTAAAGACTTCTGAAGTTGGATCAAGAAACAATGAAGCCTTCAATACCCAGCTTGTGGACAGTGAACCTCCACCGCCTTACACCCCTTATTCAGTACCCAGTAATTCTTATTGCGGCCCTAGAACCACCCCTTAGAAGGAAGATTCTAATCCTTACTTTGAATCCTCATTAGAATGAGTATTTTAATCCTTACTTTAAAACCGAATTGGAAGGAATACTCTAATCCTTACTTAAGAATACCCATTATAAGGAAGATTCTTCATATAACCCGTGAACTGAGGGCTTCACATCTAACAGACCCTCAAAATATCAGACCTCCTTTTCTTTATAGTTCGTTAAATAGAGTTTTCAATGTATACTTATAATTACCGATTAAGAGGACCTAACCTAACCTAACCTAAAACCACCAACAGTAGGAGTCTCATATTGATATCAATACATACTCCACTACACTGTGACCTAACCTAACCTAATGTTAATATAGTTTTGCTAAAATAATAAGGGTCGTCTTTCGAAGCTGTTAATCTGTTATCCTTATATGGTAAGAGAGATCGTAGTGTATGAATATTATGTCTACATTTATTCAAGAAGTAATTGGTAAACATTCGTTTTTATCCTAATTTCCCCAATTGGTAAGATATATTATTTTTAAAGTGTATGTTGATGTTTTTGAATTAACCTAACCTAACCTAACCAAAACTAAAAAAGAATCGTAGTAATAATGATAAAACTCCAAAATACCTATTGGAATATTAACCAAGTCATTTATCACCACGACCTACATCTACAGAATTTTAAAAATATTTTTCCACAAATAATAAAATATTCAAATATAACTTGGACCTCTATGGTAATCCTAACAGTGATGAGTAAACAGAGAACAGGGATTCATGTGTAACAGATATAGTGTTAACAGGCCAATCTGTGCACTGTTGGTCGGTGGGTTAACATTGTCTGGAGGTTAGTCAAATGGTTATTGTTGCTGTCAGAGGTTGATGGTAAATCCCGATTTCATAATTACCTTTCATGGACATTTTGTGTTGTGTTTATATGTTCGCTAACTAGTTCCTGTAATGTTATTCCTTTTATGAAACATAGCCATTGTTCCTTGGACATTTATTCCATTGCAATGGTTATATAGTATTTTGAGGTAGGCGCTTGGCGGAAATAATTTTAACATACCTCTGCCTGGTTTGCGGCTTGTTTGTTAGTTTCATCAACAAGGGGTTCAGCTGAGAATCCTTACAACTTGCATTATACCCCTTTTTAATATGTTACTCTCCAGCCTGCCTTAGATACATAGTATATTGTGTTTAAAAATCTGATCATACGATTTTTTTACCTTGTCTTATTTTTGTGTCTATTAACTTAGCTAGGGTAGTGTATTTGACATTTGCTCTTCACTCGTCTAGGTGTCCGATGGTCACTGTTGGCAACGTGTGAGTTTTTCTTCCTTGGAGAGTTGTAGGGCCCGTTTGGTCCCTGAGATATGCTAGAAACTGTCAGTTGATAAAAGATGTCCAAAGGAGGGCCACCAGTCTGGTGCCTGCACTACGGCACCTCAGTTACCCAGAGAGATTAGAGCGCCTGCAACCGTCTAGCTTTTACTACAATCGAGTGTCCATACCTGGAGCTGGCGGACGCCCGCCCCACAAGGTTGAAAAAGCCACAAGTCAAGAAAACTGTGAGGGCAAACGTTTTCGGAGTGAGAATTGTGAACGGCCCCGAGTGTGACCTCTTTCAAGGCCAGACTTGATCAACACTGGAGCAGGTACAGATACATTCAGGAGCCAGTGCTTGCCCAGTACTTGCCACCAGTGCGTAACAGAGACGTGACCGACCACCCAAGCGGCTAACAACAACCCGATCAGTGACAAAGAGGGTAAAGGAAAAGTGAAAGAGAGATTTAAGTCTTTATTACTTCTCCCACATAGGCAGGAGTGTTCAAAAGTTTTTAATTGGTGTGACTTATATATACATATATGCTGATAACCAAAAGGAAAGAAGAAAACACGAAGTTCCCAAGCGCTTTCGTGTAATTCACATCTTCAGGGGTGAGTACAGACGAAAGAGGAGTACAAAACAAAGTGTATATATACAGAGGAGGGAGAAAAGGTCCACAATGGTCAGGTATTAGGTAATGACCCTACTAATCTATAAATAGCACGGCAACGGTCGGTAGTCAGGTCAGAAGGTTGGGTCACCTTACCATCTGACCTGACTACCGACCGTATTTAAAGATTAGTAGGGTCATTACCTAATACCTGACCATTGTGGACCTGGTCTCACCCTCCTCTGTATATATACACCTTGTTTTGTACTTCTCTTTAGTTGTACTCACCCCTGAAGATGTGAATTACACGAAAGCGCTTGGGAACTTCGTGTTTTCTTCTTTCCTTGTTGTTATCAGCATATACCTAGATCACGCGCACCTACAGTGATTTACTTGCATATACATACATATATATATATATATATATATATATATATATATATATATATATATATATATATATATATATATATATATATATATATATGTGTGTGTGTGTGTGTGTGTGTGTATATAGATAGACTATTAATATGTGACATATGTATCTCTTTACATTCGCAATAGATTAAAAATAAATACACAACTTGACAACCGCCTTTTGTTAAGCTTATCCTCGTGGCTCATTCAATCTTTAAATAGTTTTAACGTGTGTGTAATGCTAAGGAGTTTCTAGTCTGGCCATTTAATTAAGGAATGCTCTGTTGATTAAGTAGTAAGGAGGGGAAGAAGACCAATTAGGACGGAGGAGCGTCATGTAGAATATAGGCTGAATTTATATTCCTTCTTTCTATTTTCAATTTTCTTTATATTTGGTTTCAATGTCTTATTATCTACTTTAACTTCTCAAAGTATTTTATGTTACCTTTCTCTAATATACTTGTCTTTTATCTAATTATATTCTCATCTAGGGTTTACCTGGGAAACCCCTTGTTATGTTACACTCTTCAATACTCACGGTAGCTGCCACCACCCAGGTTTTTCTATCAGAACATACTGTATAATATAACATTAATCTCTTCACCAATGTGATAATAATAGGACACTTGGGTGGTAGTAACGTGGCGAGGTCTGGGTCACGTCGGTTCATTTGTATTCACTGGTATCAAGGTATGGGGGAAGAAGCAAAGGTAAACACTGCAGGAGACTGATACCCCCAACATACAATAAAGATCGTTTATTAAAAATGAAGTTGAGTACCTGACACTTTACCAGAACATACACACATGACCCACTCCTTGGGGTTCACTCAAGATTTAGCCAAATTTACGTTAACACTGACACAAGCTTCAAAGACCACTTGGCCTCACTTCCACGTCAGCCAAATAAGTATTCACGTCAACAGGACCAATGCTCAGTCAAAAGAACTGTAGATTATTGGTTACATTCTATGACAGTAACACACAACAAGGACTGGTCGTCCGCACTTCAATTACATTACTACTTATAATAACACTTCATAACACTTCACTAGCCTCCGTCACAAGATTGTTCGTGTTCTGTAATTATTATTACTCTCAACACTTGGGAATAAAGGTTACTCTGAGCACACAGGTATCACGGCTCCATGAGTCAGTGACACAACCTTACCTCTCGTCTCTATCAATTCTATACCTTTTTACACTGCACAAATCACAGGACAGATCGGTATTCTTGTACCAGGTGGAAATCAGATACCTGAGACAACAATTACGGATACATACAAGATGTTACCACCTCACAGCTTGCGCTAAGAACACCATGTGTTCTGTATTCAAAACAAGCTGGGCGTGTACACTCCGTGACGCGGTGGCTAGACTCCTCGTACTAGGTTCGACCTATGCCTCCCGGACACGCCGCGTGCGTAGGCTTAAGACTCTCTTTTTTATCATATTCACCACTTATCAGCCGTTTGGGTGATTTATCCAGTGTTAGTGCAGGAGGAAACCGGGGACCGGGAAACCTGTGGTGTATGGTAGGTTCACACTGGATAACACCCTTCTCACGTGTGTCCGGGCCGAGTTTTGAACCCTAGGCATATTGGTGAGAGTTATGCACGTTACCGTCAGGAACTCAAGATCTTAATCCTGATGAATCAAAGACATCCTGTGTCAGACATAATCTTGGCCACTGGCCACCGGCTCCCGGCAGCTCCAGCAACCCACACTGTGTCTGGGTGATGAGGGGAATGGCGTTCAGAGTGAATGAAATGGTATAAAAATATAGACGAAACAACACTGGATAAACCGCCCAAACGGTTCGTAAGCTGATAAGTGACGAATATGATAAAAAAAATACACGTCTTGTGCTAAGAAACAGATAGCACACGGACACAGTTTCGTTAACACACAAAACATCAATTACGTTAACAGGAACACTGTCATATTCAACACAATTCAACTTAGTCAAATTCACTTAATATGACTGTGAGACACAAAATAACATACATAAGAACATAAGAAAATAAGGAGTCTGCAATAGGCCGGTTGGCCTGTGCATGGCAGCTCCTGTCGAGAGTTACTACCACTATTTATCATCCATGAATCTATCTAGCCTCCTTTTGAAACTTTCCAGAGTTCCCGCACTTACTACAAAGTTGCTAAGCTTGTTCCACTCGTCCACCACCCAATTTGTGAACCAGTTTCTTCCTATCTCCCTCCTAAACCTTAACTTATCCAACTTGAATCCGTTACTCCGAGTCCTATCCTGCTCGGATATTATAAGAACTTTATCTATATCCCCTTTATTGATTCCTTTCACCCACTTAAATACTTCTATCATATCTCCCCGCACTCTTCGTCTTTCTAGGGAATGCAAGTTAAGTTTCTTTAACCTATCCTGATATGGAAGGTTTCTAAGTCCCGGAATCATTATCGTCATTCTTCGCTGCACCGACTCTAGTGAATTTATATCCATTCTATAATAGGGGCACCAGAACTGAACCGCATAATCGAGGTGCGGCCTGACTAGCGCAACATATAGTTGCAATAAGACCTCTGCACTCTTGTTACTTACACTTCTAGATATAAAACCCAATACTCTGTTTGCCTTATTTCGACCATTAACGCGCTGTTTTCTAGGCCGTAGGTCCAGGCTTACAAGTACCCCTAGGTCTCTTTCACAAGTCGACTTCTCTAGGTTGATGTTGTTAAGGCTGTAAAAATTATAAGTATTTGTTCTTCCAATATTAAGTACGCTGCACTTGCTGGGGTTGAATTTCATTTGCCATTTTTCAGACCACCCCTGCAGTTTATTTAGATCCTCCTGTAATGCATTTGCATCCTGCCCTGAATTAATTTGCCGCCCTATTTTGGTGTCATCCGCAAACTTGCTTATGTCACTGCTGATCCCAGTATCTAGATCGTTTATGTAGATTATGAACAAGAGTGGGCCTAGTACTGATCCCTGGGGAACCCCACTGGTTACACGGCCTCACTCAGATTTAACACCATCTACGCTGACCCTCTGCGTTCTATCCAATTTAAAACTTTCCCCTCGATACCATGAGCCTTAATTTTTCTCAGAAGCCTCTGATGGGGTACTCTGTCAAATGCTTTGCTAAAGTCTAAGTAAATAACATCGTAATTTTCGTCATTATCTACTACCTCGAAGACTTTCCTAAAAAACGTTAGCAGATTTGTTAGACAAAATTTTCCCTTTGTAAACCCATGTTGAGAGTCGTAGATTAATTTGCTTTTCTTTAGATGCGATCGGATGCTATCTGCTATAATTGATTCAAGAAATTTCCCCACTACTGACGTCAAACTGATCGGCCGGTAACTTGACGCTGATGCTCTGTCTCCCTTT